TGTTTGTGCCCTGAGGTTGATGCAGGGTGGAGAGGCTAAAGCAAAGTTGCCATGGAAACTATTGTATTTCCCTCCAGTGCCATTGGTACGGCTGACATGAGCATGTATCTGCTATTTCCGTCATTATTCAACACCTCAGCGCAGTCACAGGACACACACACACACACAGGGGAGCTGAGGAGCAGCGTATTAGCAAACACAAAGGTTCTTCTATGCTCGACTCTTAAAAATATCACAGTAGTATAGCTATCATCACATCTATTATACATGAAACTCTCAGGGCATTGTTGATCATTTTGTTCCTTAGTCCCCGTGAACATTGTTTACCGCTGAAACAAATTTCAAGGTGAGAAAATATGATACTTATCATCGTTTTCTCGCTGCACGCTCATGAAACTAGGTCATTAAACTGCACCCACAAATTCAACCCAACATGAGTGCAAAGACTTTCCAGTTTAAAGAACAAAATATTACTGATGTGAGATCTAAAAGAACAAAACACAAATACACAAGCACAAGTTTAGTCAAGCAATTACTTATTTTCCAGACGCATGTAGCAATGTCTTTATTCTCTTCACTAAGCAGAAGTTTCCATTTTGTCTTGTGCGTTGCGTCTGTTAAAAGTTAAACTGCTAAAAAAACTTTCTGGGCTCTCGGACATTTTAATTATTCAACATCTGATGTTGTAATTGCTTTTGTAACACTTGCACTTAATTCCATTACTATTTAATTGCTTTTCTTGTGCAAAATCTCACAATCAGTAGCATTCAGAATGATAATAAATACAATTAAAAAACATTAGAGAATGTTAAATCTTCTTTTAAGTAATTATAATGTTATTTATATAATATGATGACATTAAACGCTTCACACCCACAACAAATGCACCAGTGTGTATTGCATGGGCTGGGCTCTTGTAAATGTTAATCTCACCTCATTAACTTTAACCACTGGAATTCTTTTCTTTTCTACAAATCAATAATCCAGCTTTGTGAGAGGGATTTTGCCAGATTGAGCATCGAGGGAGATTTTGGTAAGCTAAGCTTAAGGAGACAGAGAATCAGAGAAATCCTGGATGAAGTGATTTTTCCGATGCAATTTTTTGGATGCTCCCGTGCATATCAGAAGGACCTGATGTGACCTGCAGCGGGTCTGTCAGGATAGTTAAAATAAGAACCCCAACTCCATGTGGATCTTGCGCCAGTGAGGCACTAAGACCCAGTGGAGGGGAGGGAAGGCGGGTGCCCCCCCGCTGGCTGCCTGTCTGCGCTACACGAATCTGCAGTTTCTTTGGTCGCATGCTGGCGATAGCACGTGTGTGTGTGTGTGGAAGAGTGTGGGGAGAGTGTGTGAGTGTGAGAGACGGAGCCCCTGCACTCTTTTTTTCCCTTCCATCTCAACCTTCTGCTTCTGCTCCGTCTCTCCACCTCCAATCTTGCTGTGCGAGATCTAGGAGGACGGAGGTGTGCGTTGTGTTTTTGAAGGGAAGAGGAGGGGGAGTGGGGGTGGTCAGGATGATGATGAGATGAAAGGGACCAGGTGAGGAGGAGACACAGGAGTGCCCCTTTCCTCTTTCCCCCTTCTCCTTCTCTCTCTTACTCTCGCTTCCTCTCTCTCTCTCTGTGACGTGGTGTGTGTTTGCTGTATGTGTGAGAGAGAGAGTGAAACAGGTCGGCTATGCTTCAGCAGACTGGACTGTGAACCTGCACAGGAGGAAGCAGCCCTTTCCAGATTGAGGTATGTCACTGAATTGTCATCACACACATTTCCAGAATACCTGCGCCACGTGGGGAGATTTGTGATTAAGTGAAAGACGGGATGCTGAAGGCGGTAGAAACTGACTCAAGGGGCAGCGTATTCTCTCATCAAATCACACATTACGTTAACGTATCCACATTAAAGGACGTGTGAGGATAGATGTCTCGTCTCATTTAAAAACCCTGTTTTTCGCTTGCATGTTGCTGCTGAGAAGTGAAAGTGCTTTGTAATGAAAAAGGACACTTGAACAACAGGCTAGTTTTCTGCTCACGGTAAACACAGTGTCATGTGCATATGATAGGGTCATATGGTTTTCAGTCAGCAGTTAGAGAGATTTCGCACAACCTTAGGCTGAAGCTTTGTATGAATTTTGTGCAGCTCTTAAAGCAACATAAACTGGGCAAGTGTGAGTTGAACGTCGCACAACAGCTTGTGCTGGTTTAGAGTCCTCGAATCTTTCTCCAGGTTTTGCCAATAAAACTTTCATAAAGATTAAAGATCCTTTGAGAGTTTATTCCACTTCACTTTGGAGAGTTACACTGATGATAAATGTTTCCATAAAGCAATCAGGGCTGATTAGACTAAGACCCTCCAGAGGACTTGTCTCTGCATCACAGATGAGCTGCTTTTTTAAAAAAAAATTCAGCTGAAGGTGACTCTTTCCCTTTGACCGATTCAGCAAAGGCCACCTACTTATGCTTCTGTGTCTGACTGGTGGCTGTTGTGCTCGATGTGCATACGTGGGCAGGAAAAGACGAGGTGCTTTGCAGGGATGTCACACTTGTGAAATGGAAAACTTGCACCTGCAGCTGTGCAGCATATGGAAATGTACCGAAGGCTTTGTGCTCGCTCCACGGCTTTTATAGCGCGTGGGGTTGAGTGCAGGTGAGGTTGCGACAGTAAACAGTGCAGGATCTACTCCAGTAGCAAACACTAATACGGACAGCTGAAGGTGCTCTTCTTTACTTCACATCCCTTTTAGGCAATTTTAAAATGCATACTTTTCCACTCAGAAACACATTTAATACATTACTCTTAAAATACAGCGTAAATAATTGTTCAGAAGTCCTATTAGAACTTTTTTATAAAAAGAAAGTAAAACAAACACTTTTACATGTCAGGATTGCACTTGATGATCTTTTCGACCCAGCAGTGATCTGTGAGTTTTGCAGATTATTTTTTATTTCCGTTTGGATCTTCTGTCGGTTAAGGAGGGCATACGGTTTACTCTGTGCTTTTAGCCTCTCCCTGGGGTTTCAGCTGCCCTGAAAAGATCTGATGATTCAAAAACTCAAATATGTAGTAAATGGTGACTTATGCTTATATGCTAGGCTTCAAACAGGACTGGATCAAATCTGATAGGTTTAGATTTAAGTAGAAGAGCAAAAATTTATCAACTTGAAATTAGAAAAGTTACAGAGCAAAAAAAAAGAAGGGAAAAAGTGATTTTTTTAGGATATTAAAATCAAATGATCAAATTCTATAACTACTGCCTTTTAATCTATAATTTTGCAATTTTGTAATCACTTATCAACTGCACACGTTTCATCCACTGAGAGAGGATGCTTCAAAAAATCTTCTGTGTTATACAAAAGAAAATAAATCAAATGTAATATTTGTTGTGACCACCAGTTAAAACAGCAGTTCTCCTCAGTATATGTAAATCTGGCCCTTTGTTTAGGGTTAATTTTACATTGTGGAATAAATACAAGCCCAATCAGATGCCTCAGTGATATCGTTGCATGATTTGTAGGAATGTCAACATTTTTCGTTTGTATAGAATATTATTGACCTTTTAAATTAGTCTCAGACAACTAGTTTTACCTTTTTTCGTTCATTGTGGCAAGATGAGTCTCATATGTTTATCTTCAGCAATACCTGACTGAGCTGGACTTTCTATTTTGTTTCAGATCTTTTGTGGTGTTGTTAGAAAGAGGACGTCTTCCTTAAGAGTTCTGTTACGCCCGTGTTTGATCATCTGCAGAGCTTTGGGCTACGGTCTATGGAGGTGAGGACCTGTAGGGTTCAAGCTGCCATGACAGAAACCACTGCCTGAGCTTCTCAGCGATACTCTACGAAAGGGGAGGATGGGTGATGGGCCCGTGAAATTCAGCGGACTGTCTCCTCTTTATCCCATCCTCTCATGGAGCGTCCTGTCACACCGAGCCCCTCCTGGAACACTTCTTTCTCCCTGTTTCCACCCTCACTGCAGCCAAACATCTCTAATGTCACCTCACCCACGCCGAGCATCCCAGGTGGGATAGATGTGAATCGCTCCTTGGCACTGTGTGCTATGCTCATTATGAACATGCTTGCAGTGGTGGGCAACTTGGCTGTGATCATTGTCATCACCAAAACGCCGCAGCTGCGTAAGTTTGCCTTCGTGTTCCACCTCTGTCTGGTGGATCTGGTGGCAGCGCTGGTGTTGATGCCTCTGGGGATGCTGTCAGATCAAATCCTGGTGGATGAAGCGCTGTGTCGGAGCTACCTCTGCTTGAGTGTGTGTCTAGTGAGCGCTGTCATCCTCACCATATGTGCGATCAATGTGGAGCGCTATTACTACATTGTCCACCCCATGCGTCACGAGGTAAAGATGACAGTGGGGGTGGTGGTGATGGTACTAATAGGAATCTGGATTAAAGCTGTTGTCATGTCAGTACTTCCACTCCTGGGCCGGCTGCTCCAGGGAAACCAGGGTCTGGGGGCTTCTTCCCTCCACGTTCCCACTCAGAGACACTGCTCCCTCCACTGGACAGGTGGCGGGATCACACGCCTGGTCTTCATGGTTTTCTTTACAGTCATCTATTTTCTGTGCCCTATGCTGATCATACTGGTGGTCTACTGCAACATGTTTAAGGTGGCACGAGTAGCAGCCATGCAGCACGGCCCCCTCCCCACTTGGATGGACACTCCAAGACAACGATCCGAGTCTGTGAGCAGTTATTCGACCATGGCGGCCAGCCTCCGAGGAACTGGTTCCCGCACCACCCCTCAAAGGACCTTCAGTGGGGGGAAGGCTGCAGTGGTTCTGGTGGCGGTGGGAGGCCAGTTCTTCTGCTGCTGGCTGCCATATTTTTCCTTCCACCTTTACTCGGCTGTAGTGTCTACCTCCCCTGCTTCATTAGCCCAGCTGGAGGATGTGGTGACATGGATCGGCTACTTCTGCTTCACCTCCAACCCCTTCTTCTACGGTTGCCTGAACCGTCAGATCCGCGAGGAGCTGAGCCGCCACTTGGCTTGCCTTTTCAAGCGCGCTGGGCCCAGAGAAGGAGAGCAGCTGCCCAGCCGAGAGGCCTCTATTGAGGAAAACTTTTTGCAGTTCCTTCAGGGCACTGGATGCAATCTGGAGCCCTGCAACTCTCACAGCAGAGCCAGCCTAGAGTTGCCAGAGACTGAGGATCTTCAGGAATCAGCTGTTCAGCAGCACATGCCAGCTGACTTCCACATCCCAGGGCAGATCCTCGAGGAAACCTCAGAGTTCATACAGCAGCAACAGCTGAACAATGAGCTCCATGTATCAGAGAACTGCTTCAAAACTGTACCAGAGCTGTAGCCGACTCATGTACTCACTCTTCTGCCATACAATAAGCCAATAAATATATTTAGTTTTATTCATATTTTTTACAATTTGTTGAATTAATACATCTCTAGCTGATGCTACGAAGTGCTTTAAAGCAAAGTGAACTGTAAACACGGTATCTTCTTGGAAGAATTTAAGTTATGTAGCTTTTTTAGTGAAAGACAGACTTCAATATATCTTGTGCTTCATTTTACTTTTAGCCCAACAGTCAGATGCACTGTAGCATTACATGCTTTAAGAGCCATACGGTGTGAGGCCGCTTCTATGTCACATCAGTGGACAAACACCGAGCCCTTGTTGTGCTTATCATAGCCCAGTGAGGTGACAAATGTCACATAAATATAAGAAGTGTGCAAACTTTGTCAAAGCAATGTTCATAGTTGTTGTTATAGTTTTTATTACGCACTGTTAGAGCCATTCAAAGGAACTTTTCGCAGAGTGTTTAGTTTTGATATGCATTCATTTACTAAATCTCTAATTTAAATGTGGATTCCCCGCTGAATATGCAAAGACAATGCACCACACAAAGTTCATCATATCATCCCCTCTGTCCTGCCATCTGCATTTTCGCCCTCCTGGTTATTGTTTAAAATGAATTCATCAAGAGATGAACATTTTCTCTCATCATTGTGTATTCAGAGCAATCAGTTCAAGGTTTTACTGCTTGGTCTCTATAACCAAACAGATACTTTATAACCAATTTACCCAACAAACACTTTCCTCATTAAAAGACAGCGCACCGCCCCGGGCACTCGTACGTGCACTCGTACGTGCACCAACAAAGTGTTTGCAGAACTGCTCGTTTGTTTAAGTAAAAGATTCTTAGTTCCTGTAGCTGTCACTGCCAGTTTGTTTAGTGAGTAAAGAATCTGTTTTTATCATGTATTTATTCCACTTGCACATCTCATTACACCAAGGAATTAATGCAAAAATGTTCCTCCATATAGAGTTTAAAATATTCATCGCGCTGAACAGGGATCATTTCACAGCTGTTACTGCTGCTGGTATTTATAATAAACAGGCTGACGGAGTATTTTTAACTATTTTCCAGGAACGTTATTATCGTGTTTATCTGTTCTTAGTCTTGTGATTATCACCTCCTCACCAAAATCATCTCACATTGGCGGACTCGTGATTGCAACCCCTCCTCCTCCCCCCCCCCAGCCCCCCCCCCACTCAAAGAATTGCTTTAATTGTTTTGATAGAGGTGGCGTTAAGGATTTAGGCTGTAAAGAAGGAAAAACAAAAAACTGACTGCAGCATTAAAACAGCTGAAATGCGGCTCGGGATGAACAGATTCGCACACCAGTACTAATTACCCTGTAATGTCTGCACTGTTTACAGGTAAACACAAGGAGCTGTGTGAGTGCTCTCGTGTTTGTGCAATAAACAACCGGGGCTTGTTGTGGCTACATAGAGCACAGAGGTGTGGCGATGCTTACACATGGAAAGCTTTGCCTTTGGCCTCGTTCGGACGACAGACGGAAGACACTGGCGATACTTTTTCTGATCTCAGGTGGAATACAAACTGTTTGCACAAGTCACACGAGAAGTGACAAACGTTCCAAAGACAAATTACAAGGCACAAGTCTCTTGCTAAACACTTTCTTTCTTT